CCTCCCGGACAGGCAGCTTTGGTGTAGCCAGCAGCTCCCATCCCCGCGGGGTCCCCAGGTGGGCAGGGGCCTCTCTGAGGTCCGGGCTGGGCTCCCCTAAGTGCTGGGAGCCGCTGCAGCCCCCGTCCCGAGCAGTGCCCGGTTCCTTCGGCCCAGTCTCCCCTCCTCCTCCTCCTCCTCCTTTCCTCTCCTGTCCTGCTCTTGCTCCCCTGCTTCCCACGCCGACCGGGGGGTCTGCCTGCCCGAGACCACCAGGTGGAGCCAGACCCCGCCCGTGCCCCGCGGCCGGACCCGCCGCCCCTGCTGCTGCCCGGCCCGCCCGTCGCTGGTGCCCATCGCTGAGACTCGTGTCCGTGTTCTGAGTATAACTTGCCAAACTCTTTATTCTTTCGATATTTGCAGATATGTGCCACTGTTTCCAACTTTTCATCAACAAAAAGGCCTTTCCAACTCCTTCCAAATTAGAAGATCCAGGTGGTTACACACGGCACCTCTGTACAAATTCTCTCACTTTTCATTGCCTCTCCAGGGCCGGATAAGGGATGGGCACTGGGATTGATCTAAGATTAGAGGCTCGCCCGCCCTCCAGCCAGCATGGGTCCCCCCCTCGGAGACACGCAGGAGCCTTTTAAATCCCCCCAATGTAAAGTCTAGGAAGCGCTGAGACGGCCTGCGCCTGCACTTTAAGCTGGGACATTTCTGGGCCTGCTGGATGCTGTCTAGGCACTTTCCATGCTCGGGGATGCCAGGCGGACGACCCTCATGGGATGGGAAGACCTGCAGACCCGCCGGGACTGGGCGACAGCAGCGAGTGGAGCTGGATGGGCCCAAAGACGCTTTGCTGCTGCCTGCGGGAGCTGCTGTTGGCGCCTGCCGCTAGCACCCAGCTCCTTCCTCCCTCCTGCACCTCCTGCAGCCTGCATGGACTCCTGCTCCTCCTCCTCTTCCTCCTCGCAGCAGAGCAGCCATCTATGTCTCTTTAGTTTTCTTCTCTTTCAATCTCTTTGTTTTGTTCTGGGCCCAAAAGCAAGTGATTCGGTGTCCCAGGCGCGTGGGGCTCGTGTCCCTTTTTGATCCAAAGCACATGGGGTGCTCCCGGACTGAGGGGGTGTGTAGGCCGCTCCAGAGGGACGCTGCCGCTGCCCTTCTGCCATTGTTGTGATTCTGAATGTATTGATTGTGCTCCATGCCGTGTATGACTTGATATTTTCCTCTGTCCTAAGCACTTTGAATGAGTTCTGCTCAACAGACTGTATATTTCATATTGTATTTATTGGAGTTTGCTCTCACCGCAGCCGCCCTCGGGGGCTGGCGGGTTTTGCTCTCAACTCTCTAGACGTGTGATAGATATTTATTGTCCATGCTCTTTTGTAAGGGGCTGGTATCTCTGCCCGGTGACCTGTGCTACTTTGTATGGTGCAAGTGTGTTAACAGAATAAATCTGTTGGATTAGTAGAGGTGTGAGTTCCTTCACTGCCTTAGCCTCTCCTGCTTCCATCCATGCTCCACCTGCATCCCATGCCATCTCTGTCTGTCGCCATGTCCTGTGTGCCCCTGCGGGTGGGGGGTCAGAGGTAGTCCCGTTCTGCTAGGAGGACAGCTCTGCTTGCCGTTGTGGGGGGAGAGCAGCTTGCCAGGGGACAGGTGGTGGGGTGGCCTGGGCTGGAGTGTCCCTAGAGGGGACGGGCGAGACACTGGCTGCTCCATGTGCTGGGAGACCTGGCCTGGGGGAGAGTGGTCTGGTCTGGTTTGGTCTGGTCTGGCAGCCCTCTGGGGATGGTGGGGCTGTGTGTTCTCCTCTCTGTGCCCCTGTCTCTAACAAACCTGTGTTTCTTCTCTTCCAGTCTCGGAAGGGTGCGGACCCGGAACGGGAGAAGAAGGTGCTGGAGTGCAAAGCGGACAGCATCGGCAGCGGGAGGGCCATTCCCATGAAGCAGGTTCGATCCTCCCCCTTCACCCCCAGGCGAGAGCAGGCTCCTTGGGGGGTGACAGGAGGCCTTGTGGTGGGGTTGGGGTGCCTTCGTGTGGCACAAGGCACAGGAGAGCACGGAGGATCTGGCTGCCCCCCCAGCCCAGCACTGGGCAGCTGTGGGGGCTGCGTGCCTGCCCCGACCCCAGG